ATCTGCCGGTGGATCACTGACTTCCTGACGGACAGGAAGCAGCATGTGAGGCTGGAAGGGATCAGGCACATTCATCTGGGAAAGCTTGCCTCGGAGATGGTCTGGAAGGATGGTGTTGAAGGCAGAGCTGAAGTCCACAAACAGGATCCTGGTGTAGGTTCCTGGGGAGTCCAGATGCTGCAGGATGAAGTGTAGGGCCATGTTGATGGCGTCATCTACAGACCTGTTGGCTCTGTATGCAAACTACAGGGGGTCCAGGAGGGGGGCCGTGAGGGTCTTGAGATGGGAGAGAACTAGGCGCTCAAAGGACTTCATGACCACAGATGTCAGAGCCACGGGTCTGTAGTCATTTAGTCCAGTGATCCTAGGTTTCTTGGGGACAGGGATTATGGTAATCAGATTGGACTCTGGTCCTACTTACCTTTCAGTATTCTGCAAATGTCATAGTTACATTGTAATGTTTTAAAAACTGAGCTTTAAAATATACCTACAAACATACCGCCTATGAACAGTGGTAATAAAAGAAAAAGAGGCCGACAGTGATCACTGACTTTTTTTTAGTGGCTTGTTTAGTTTAAATGGAAGAAGATACAAAGCATTAAAACATGTTAAAAACACAACAGCCTTAATAAACACAGAGAAGTTTGGACTTGGAAGCAGGATTCATAATCATCACTTAACAATCGGATTTTTTGGAACCCCTCAGCCTTTCTCCTTGTTTCCCTTCTTTAAGAATGGCTTCTTGGTAGCTGCTGATCCGCTGAAACCATTTCTGACAAAGTTTTGGTCAACAGCAAATGGATCAACTGAAGGGGCAGATAAATCTCTGTTTCTGTTTCAGGTTTTTGCTGGATTTTTCTTATTTCTTAATGACATGACTTTGAGATACTCTTCTGCTGTAGGTAGATTTTATGCTTGCTGCTTAATCTTTTTTGTTTTGGCCTCCGGTTGTCCAGCTTCCTCAAATGTTTAAAAGAGACACCTCACACATTTTAAGAACACCTCAAGTTTTTGGCTAATAGCTCCTTGGGATTCACCTGATGGTGTAAAAATACTTCTCAAAATGTGTTATCTTTGGTGATACTTCACAGATTCAACTAAAACATTGGAATAAATGATCTGTTTTGGTGACAGGATGGTAATGTAGTGCCTAAAGACACATTTTCACAGGACTTCAGAAAGCCTGAAGAGCTGGCAGACACATGACTTTTTATTTGATATATTTCTAAGATGTGTTTTGTTTTGTATTGTGCAGTTTAGGAAACTAGTCACTTAACCGTTTTCTGTCTTTTCACAGGTGATGTGTCACCGATCAGTATGTCCCCCATCAGCCAATCACAGTTCATCCCTTTGGGAGAGGTTTTGTTATTGGCTATCTCTGCTATGAACTCTGCCCATAAGCCTGTCACTCAGGAGGCCTTAACTGAACACCTGCAGACATGTTTTCCAGGTAACACCAGCCTCAGTCAGCACTGTGTGTAAACTCTTGTCTACTCAATCACAGTTACAGGTTCAAGTTACTGTCTTTCTTATCACCTTCTTAATTCTTAATCTATCCAAGCACTCACACAACTCTTTGAAGTGTCTGATGTTTCTTTTGCTTTCTAAAGGTGAGAATAAGTCATTTTATCTCAACTGTTAAAGATTTGCCTGTGCAATATTTGGCATTTTTCTAAATGCAATTCGAAGAGGTTTTCCACCCAGAACTTGTTATCAGTTAACCTTTTAAAAATGTAAATGTGTCAGTGATATATCTCCCCTTGCCCCTGTGGGGCGGTCCTTATCCTTCAAGCTCAGGTCCTCTACCAGAGACCTGGGAGCTTGAGGCTCCTCCAGCAGATCCCAAGAACAAAATCCGAGATCTCTTTCCAGAAGAGCGCAGTCCTGGGAACAGCTAAGATACCGGACCCTCGAGCTCTCAGGCCTCTGGTAGAGGACCCGAGCTGGAAAGAAAAAGACTGCCCAAGTTTTATATCACTTTGACCTCCGACATGACAATGACCCAAAACACACTTTGCTCATGGTGAAGAACTACCTTCAGAAAACCAAAGTAAACGTTATCTGCTGGTCTACACAAAGCTCTGAGTTGAAACCCAACGAAAATCTGTTGGTTGAACTGAAGATCAAGAGATTCACCAAACAGAAGTGACCTGGGATTGCTCAGGAGATGTGTGTGTGAGACTCGTTGAACACTACTACAAATGACTGATACTGTTAGTATCAGGGGGGCTAATAATTTTGACCCAGGTAGTTTTTGTGAAATAATTTTGCTCCTGTGGGCAAAATAAAATAATGTAAAGATCCAAAATAAAAAGATAATATATGCATTTTCCATTTTCCATTTGCATTTTTTTCCTGAATGGAACATGTAAGAAAATCTAACCAGTTAAGGTGTAAAACAGTAACCTGAAACCCAGTTATACTCACTTCCACTTTTTTCCAGTGTTTTTCTGTCACCACTTTGTGCACACATACAGAATGACTTGACTGTATCATACGCTCCAAATTTGTCTATTGTCTCAGTGAGGTGGACAGTGAGATGCGATGTGGTAGTAAAGTATGACACAGCTGTGTCTCTACACTCCTGGTATAGCTCAGAAAGTGTTGTTTATGAGCAGGGTTGTGGCAACAAGAGTCACTTACTTTAATCAGCTTCTTAAGCAGTCGAAAATGTCGGATTTATCTACATTATGTCTTTAAAAATGAGGCATAAAGTGTTTATTTGTCTTGTAACTGTCTCCTCAGTTTTTGTCATAAGGCATGTTATGGAATTTTAGTTATTTGGAGCGTTACTTATGTATTTCTTTATGTTACCTTTGGCTTTTAATATGGTAAGCATTTGTAATTCAGAAAAGTTACCATGCAAGAGATTTATTGACTTATTAACTTGAGAATTTGTGGGAAATTTGCACACATTCCCATGTCTGGTTTAATGATCGCATCAGCCAGCATAGTCCCTGTGACTCTGTACATAATGTTAAGTCAAATTGTTGAATGTTGTCAATGTGTTTCTTAAATTTGTAAAGTCTTAGTTCAAACTATACGATCAAAGATGTTCCTTTGTCTCTGACCACCTCTCCAGCCACTCTGTGCTAGGGAGGTTTTATTGTAGTCAGTGTTGGGAAGGTTACTTTTAAAATGTATTCCACTACAGATACAGAATACATGCCCCAAAATGTATTCTGTAACGTATTCCGTTACGTTACTCAATGACAGTAACGTATTCTGAATACTTTGGATTACTTAATATATTATCATGCTTTTTACAACAACGTGAATGTACTATTGCTGTGTGATTTATTACTATTACTGAAGGTCCGCGACTCCGAACTGTAGTAAAGGGACCTCTGACTAATACGGCGGGGTCCCTGTCGGCTCGTAGCCGAAAAATAGCTTTACTTTGTTGTGTGGGTCAACTTTTCTTGCGAGAGACAGAGAGAGGCGTTGAAAGGCTGCTCCAACGGAACTTATTGTTTCGGAGGAAAACACGAACACGGTGTACAGTCGAGTCTTAATAGCTTACTTACAACTGGGCTCGTCAGGCTCTCTTCTTGGCTGCAGTGGTTATTATTATATTTACATGCTTCCAGCTCCCGTTTTTGCTCGATGACAACTCGTACCTTTCCACTCCCCTTTTTCTCCCTCCTCGCTCACAGACACATAACGTGTATGGCAGTCCATTCTCCCTGCAGCACGGACTACACTGCCCATGATGCTACATTCTTTAGAGCTATGCTTGTAGCATTCTGCCTGTTAGCTTAGCACAACAACAACAACAAAAAGGCGCTCTCTCACCCAGGAAACACGCAGAGAGAGAGCGTCACCCTGTAACCATGGCAACCGTAACGCTGCCGCCTGGAACAACAGAACGTAGCTGTCAAACAAAACCCAAACAGTCCTGACCCGCGACAAAATGAAACAGGAAAGTACCGCAGTGTAATCCATTTATTTCAACAAAGTAACTGTATTCTGAATACCACCTTTTTAAACGGTAACTGTAACGGAATACAGTTACTCATATTTTGTATTTTAAATACGTAACGGCGGTACATGTATTCCGTTACTCCCCAACACTGTGGTACATTCTATCTGAAGATCTGTTTCTTGTGTTGTAGCTTCCTGCTTTTATGACCCTTTTGGTGAGCAGGAGGACACACACACACACACACACAGTGCCTTGTCTTAGAACCATTGGGGGGTTTGCGGTGGGAGGTGCTTGTGCTGTGATGTGTATTGTAACTGTTATGTCAATAAACAGCTGCGAGGAAGCTGCTCTTTGAAGGATTTGGGCTAGAGACAGGTGATGAGCATTAAGCTCCACCACCTGGTTCTGACCAAGGCTTCCCTCGTTAGCGAGTTAAAGAGCGGTTGAAGATGTTCTGTTTTGTCTTGTGTTCTTCATGAGGAATAAGTCTCTAAACTAGCGGGGCCTGTGGTAACACAGACCCAACACATGAGGTCTACACATCCTCATCCTTCTGCTGTGTTGCACATGCAACAATTACAGGGAGAAAATTGCTGTTGCTTTATTATTTATTCGTTATTTCTAGTCTCTTTAACATTATTATTATAGGCAATTTGTTTGAAACATTTTAGATCAAATTAGATAATATAGTCGATATATTCCTATAGTGACATGTTTTTATTAGAGCCCCAGCAATTTATCAGCTGGCCAGTATAATTGGTTGATATTAGACATTTGGGGAAATCTCAGCATCAGCATTTATAAGACTGGATAAATGAAAATGTAAAAACTACAGAAGACAAGGAAAAAAACATCTCAACCATGTTACGAGTGTGTACTGCGAATCTTGTCTGCTAGAAAGTACTTTTCCTGTTGACAACACACATTTGGAATACCAGAAATACAACACCAGCAGAGCTGGGCAGAGCATAAACAAGTCGATAAATCCATCAGGCTTTATTCCAGAAAGTTGATGCTGTTCATTTGGACGTAGCTTTTTCAGTCACCAGAGACACTAAAGAAATGTCACTTGGATGAGTGACGAAACATTTCTCCCACTGAAAACGTCCAGATGCACAGAATCAACTTTTTGGGCTTTCCTTATCCGGATGATTGAGCATGCATGAAGACATCAGACTTCGTTATTCCCACATTTTCACAGTCCTAATAACCAGTTTGAATTGGCAACATTTAATGTGTTGTGACTGCACGCTAAATCTGCACACTGTTTCTCCACACCTGACATGAGGGAGCTGCAAACAGGCAAAATGCAGCTGAAAAATTCAGATACATCTTGAAATGCTTTAAAGGACCTGGTATGTTTTGAAATTTCCTGGTAGAGTGTTGAAGTGCATGTCTTATTTTTTGCAGTTTTAAACAAGACGCGAGGTCATATGACCACTGTTTTCTGAGTGGGAGGGGCAGCTTCCATTAGAACTGCCCTCCTGGCAAACAAGGAACAGAACAATAGCGCCTGTCTTAAAGGCCAGCAGAGACACTTCATCCGCTCCAAAGAGAGCCATTAGGAGATTAGGTGGTAGGCTCACATTGAGAATCTTAAACAGGGAGTGAAAAACCTCTGTCCAGAACTGACCGAGACTGGGACAAGACCAGTACATATCAGTAAGGCTTCAGCAATGTTGCATCCATCACAGTATGGAATGATTTCAGGATAGATACAAGATAATCTGGATTGTGAAAATTGGGCGGGTAAGGAAAAAGTTTAACAGCAGAATAAACCCTTTATAGCACAGCCCAATAGAGGTAATGTGGCCGATCAATGTCTCATAAATTCTGTTGCTTTATTGGTTTTAGGGCACCCACTAAAATGGGTCATCCAAGTGGCAGTGGTACCAGGGTCACATTTTGTGACCACGTGAACTTTCTGGTTCAAATAATTTTTTCTTGTGATATAATTATTATCATTGTTATTATTACTCATTTCAACTGTTGTAAAAAAAGTATTTCCAGATATGGGATAACTTTTCTCATCATCTCAAGCCAGTTTTCATCATTGATGTTAATCAAATGTATCAACAAGATGTCTCCTTGGCTGTTCTTGATTGGTTTAAAGCAGTGGTTTCCAGCATTTTGGACCAGGCCACACAGATGGACACAGGATCCTTGCAGATGGGACACAGATTGTTAATGTGTCGTGACATTTGTTTTTCTTTGGTCGGCAGTTCTAGAAAAAATTTGAAAACCAGACTGATAACTATTAAAAATATGTGTTTAAACACTATAGAGGCTGGAAAATAGGGCTGGGCGATATGGCCTAAAATCCATATAGCGGTATAATTTGAAGCACATGCAGTAATGATATATATCACAATATATTCTTTTCTTCTGTATAACGTATTTTCCCCACTATAAGGCACACTTACAATCCTTTAATTTTCTTAAACCGATTTTATGTGCTACACGGCGCTCAAAAATCTGTCAAAAAATGTTTTAGTACGACTTTGGTTGCTACGAAGCCGCATCGC